CTCCAGAAGCAAATTTGTTCCAATGACGGAAATCCTGCACCGCCTCAGACAAAACAGTTGTCAATGTTAAAAAGGGGGTGCGGGGATGCGTCGTCACGTCATTTGAAAATGCTTATTATGCAGGTGGTGCAAGATTTCCTCCATCCACAGTAGCACTGTTGTGTATTCGCCCTAAGCTGGACCTGGGAAACAGGAGGGCCTCTTCCCACTGCATTGTGTGAAGCCTGAGCTGTATGTGAAGAGCTGGTACAAGGCATGGTGTTGCTTGCTTTTGGGAGGTTGCGGACTTAATGTAGGGTCGTGAGTCTGGGTTGATATGATGGAGAAGGAAATGGAAAACCGCCATGGAACTTGAGATTATGCAGGAGTTTTTGGGGACTGAAATATAGATGCCGGAAACAAGCATCAACAGCGTGTACCCCACATTCCATGTATACTTATGGTAATAATAGGGTTCGTCAAGTGGACCTTTCGAGTATTTTGTGACTTATTCAGGCCACTGCATTACGCAGAGTCTAAGCTGCAAGGTTTGGGTTGCAGGGTTTAGGGCTTGGATATGACTGCCTCTGCGAAAATTCACATCCCCTCCTGTCCAGTGACTTGAATATAGTGGGTCAGGATTGGCGTGAGCATGAAGGAAGATGCAATGGAAGGATGTCATGCCTTATAATGTTTCGTGGCGGGGGCTAAGGGAATCGTAGCCCTAAACCCTAAACCCTATATCATACAATTTTCCATTTAAACACAAAGTTCAAGCCAGGAGGGGTCCGAACGCGAGTCACAGGAGCAGCCTGAGCCTGAAGTGTCTTGGTTGTTTTGGGTTTCGGTTTAATGGTTGTAGGGTTTAGGGTAGTATGTGTGGGGATAGTACAGGGGTTTCACAGCGATGGAATGGTTCGATCAAGGTAGAGACACAGATTGTTTTCAGCATCGGGTGTGACGAAGTTCACTGGAGTCATTTGGTTTTGTAGTCTACTCAGGAAAACGCCGCTTATGATTGCGCTTGAGACTGCTTCGCATGGTTTGTTGGATGTATGTTGGCATCTAAGCAAGCATGAACACGTCAACAGCATTTAGCTTCCATTGAAAGTTTTATTTGTGCCACGGGGTGGCAATCATATAGCAAGTCTGATTGTATGAGCTTGCTGTCCAGATAGCAGCGGCTTTGTCTCTCACATCCGCGAAGCATGCAAAGAGGGCGAGAACAAACTATTGGTATCAAGCTGCACCGACGAACGTATGACCCTTGAGGAGTTGCGGCACTTGGAGGGCGGAAGGGTTGGCCCCTTTTGTTTTGGATATTTGTCTGGCATTGCCAACATCTAGAATCTAGAAATCTCCCCGTTTTATCACATGTTTGTATGTCGTGGAGGTACAGATTAGGGTTCTTGCAGGTTGTTTCCGTTGATATCATTTGTTTCGTGTCTTCGTGCAGTCCCCATGCAAGAGTAAGCCCACGGGGTGACCTAGTTGCATGTAGATTCCACGTGATCGCATCCAAGGATGAGCCTGAGGCAGCTCCGGTGTATCCTCCGCGACAAATGCGGCGTTAGGCTCTACGGAGCACAAGGGAGACCCATAGGGCAGGAAATGCAGTGAGCCCGTAGACTGTTGAACCAGCTGGCATGGACGTTGGCAGTGTGCAGTGCACGGGGTTAGGGAGGGTCATCACTTAATGTCCTTACTGTTTCTCAATCTTCTGACAACTTCGACCTAACAAGTGAATTCCCATGCGCCTCCAAGTAGAACATGACCAACATGACCAACATGTTTTCTTCGACCACTTTATGAATACATTGGACACCAAAACGGGATCTAATCCAAGGAGGAATCTCTAAACCCGAAACCCTTTCACCGAGTTGTGTCCAAAGTGGTAGTAGGGAGCTCAGCAAGTTCCCAGATAGAGTGTTCCCTGCCAGGGTCTCATCAATCTGTTCGACATATCACCTCACCCTAGCTATCAAGCACCCGGCCCAACCTCAGATTACACATTGCAGTTGCATGGACTTGAGTCCTTGTAAGTGCCTACCCAAAGTTGGGCAGGGAGTGTGTTCATAGCAGGGAAGGTGAACAAACATGTAGACTTTGAACGTGCAAGTGAGCTCCAGAGCTTGAAACCTTCGCGCTGAAAGCCCTCAGGCTTTTCTGGTGTGCTGTATTGATTAGTCCAACGCTTGGGGTTCGGGTAGGTTGAGGTTTTGAGTACCATGTTGACAAATTGTCCTTCAACGGCAGACGGGAATCTGCCTGGTATGCTAGGGGCATGTGCAAGTTTGCGCATGAAATGCCTGATGTTTAGGCAGGGTTCAAACACAAAAGGCCCCATGGTTGGAGTGCTTCCACAAAGAATTGTGCGAGTTTTTCAGGATTTGCTGAGAAAGCCAAACTAGGTTGATTAGAACAAAAGCGTTTAGGCTTCAAGGCTGCAGTCATCTTCCTTTTATCCCTGCACCTGCGAAAAAAGGAGTTTCTCCTCCACTAACAGTCAGCCATGATAAGTTCAGATCCGTCCTTTCAAGCTCTGGAGCGCTTCGGAGTTCAAGTGTGCCCGGTGGCAGAAAAGCGGTTGCACACCGTGCGGCCTGTTTCAGAAGCGGAAGCGACAGCATACGTGGGTCTGAACAGGGATCGTTATGCGTCGTTTAAGGCAAGAACTGAGTTTTGCTTCCTTCTACCCCCCCTCACTGATAGTAATTCTTCAAATTCATGGCTACTAATACTCGAAATGTTCGGTAGTTTAAGTCTAGTACAGTAATAGTAATTCTGGACACAACGCATTTAGAAAGCATTGACGCGCTCAGGCTCCAGCATCATCTACGTGGATTTCCTTGACCTTAGAGGAGCCTAAGACTGCTTAGAAGCCCTCTTGGACACAAGACCCTGAATGGCAAAGCACAAGCACCCTGTGGATAATGGGTGCTCCAAGCCTACAACAGCTGCCTATGACCACAGCTTGCCTTACAAACTACCGTTTGTAACTCGGAGTGTACTCAACTGTCAACCTGAACCCTAAACCCTAAACCGCTAAACTTCAAGCAAATTGCCACACATCTGCGGGCTGAGGTCTCAATCCTGTGGCCGCGACGTGTCCGACCTGAGGTGCAGGGTCAGGGTTGGTGACATTCATAATCATAAGTGCCATTCTTGATTCCAGCTACAGCCTAAACTCCTAGTAACCCCTTAATAACCCTCGTAATACTGCCCCATAGAATCCCCTATATAACCTGCTTTAAGGAGTTTAGACTACAGTTCATTTGCAGCTTGCCAGAAGTCCACAATGAGAGCAAAGTGACATTTTCAGGGGCGTGCTGTTTTGGGCCTCACTGTTGGGTTGCGCTTCGAAAATGTTTTGTGGACACTTTGCTGGCAGGAAGTTTTGCCAGGCTTTCCGCCGAAGCTTGCATGTATCTTTTACCAGTTGCATGTTTGCATGCTGCTCTTTGTTACCAGCCCTACATCTACATGGCGGGCATAGCGTAATGCTAGAGCATGAATCCCAAAATTTAAGTCCCGAGACGCCGAAACAGATGCAAGAGTGGTGTTGTTTGTGGTGGACTAGGTATTTACACTCTGATTTGACCACCCGAGATGTTGCCTCGTGCTTGAAAATTCTTGACATTTGTGATTCTGCAAAAGCCCAGCTCTTCATGTGGACATCTCCGAATCTGTGCGAGTCTCTGCGCAACACCTCCTCTAGACAAGGTACTTTTCATCCAAAGTTGTCTTGGAGGTAGTGCCCAGTCCAAACTACAGTGACCTATCAACTGTACACAATCCAGGTCTTGGAGCTCTGCCGTCCCGATCCCAGCGATCAGGTTTTCATGTAAGTGTTGGTAGCGAATTGGGGCATACACAGCACCACAGCCCTGAAAATCGGAACCCAGGGTATCAGAGGATACATTGCAGGTGCTCTGGTTGATGTCCTTTGGCATGAGGAGTGTTCCACAATGGAGGCTAGGGTTCATGGTTCAGGACGTGGGGTTTTGAGTAGTATGCTAAACAGGGATATTAGAGTCGCCAATATAGAGCAAAGTAAGATCTGTATTTTGGTTTAGTTCCTGGCTTGTCTGGAGTGACGTAAGGACGCACACAGGGTTTAGGTCTTTATGAATCTTGTAGATTTCTTTGCGGGAACCCCATGTGCCTAAGTTCCTCTTCAAGACGCTGGAAGCCTTATTTTGCAAAACTGCGAAACCTCTGAAGTTCTGCAACCCTTCAGCCGGAATCGCCAGGTGACTGCATCAACTTTCACCCTTCTCTGCTACCCAAAAATCGGGGCTCGCTCACGCAGTCCCTTTGCCGGAAAATAGTAGCTGTCCATGCAGGCAATGTTGGAGGATGCGTTGCTTATCTATGCCAAGCGTTCTTGAGAAGGGTCGTTCAGGATTCCATGTAGGGCGACGAGGGCTTTTATGCTTTCTTGTGGTGGAAGTTGTCGCTCTGTTACTGTTAGTATTATAGTCATTCATTACTATGATATATTAGTATTACTAGTTTTGTTATTATCAGTATTATGAAGGCATTCGCTCAACTCCTCACCTGCATCCGTAGGCTAAAGTCAAGAAAGCGATGCCATCTGCGAGGGTCGTCTTGTACAAAGCATAGTGGGAAAGAGTACATCTAGGGTTTAGGGTTTAGAGCTTAGGGGCGCTAGTGGGGTAGGGGTTTCAATGCTCGTGAGTGAGAATCGAATCGGCTGCACGCAGAGTTGGCAAGCGATGTGGGATGGACAGGCAGGCATCCTGTGAATTTCTCAATCCAGACGGAAATTTTCCCAATATGAGTCACCCCAAAACCCCCTAAATTTCTGAACCTCCCAGATGTGATCCAGCTGACCCTACTTCGAGGTACCTGTCGGGACCTATACGAATGGGATATTCTTCTCTTCATCAAAATATGGGTAGTTCCCAAAACTAGGGTCCCATTTTGGTACCCCCAAATATTAGGTGCCTTAATATAACCTATAACCAAAAGGGGTCCATAATTTTGAGAACAACCCACATGGCGAGTCACTTTCGTTGGCTTAGTACTAGAGAAACATAGTTTTTGATCCCGTCACTACAACTTCCAAGCCCCAAACCTCAGGTTCTGGAGCATCTTCGAGGGGGATGCGGTGGTCTTGGCCAGCCTGTTTTGACAAGCTAGCACGAGAATGCTATTTTCACCGAAGTGTCCTGGAGTTTCTAAGTCCTGGGCCATAGCAGGAACACTGCAAACCTTAGCACACAATTTCAAGGTTCCACTAGAATTTTCTTCGGCCCTTGCTTTGCTTTCTGAGTGCTGCTGCTTGGCTGGCGGGATCTTGGAGATTTCAGCTGCATGCAGATGGCTGAGCTTATTGATTTTATCCCAACAATTAAGTTGTAGAGCTGCTGTAAGCTGATTCAAGACTGCCTGACATGTTGATGTCCAAAGAATAGCCCATTAGCTGATGACCCAGACGTTCGGCCTCAAAATGCAGACGTGAATACGGGAAAGCCTGAACAATTTAGAAAGACGGTTCCCTGGGAATCTAAACAATGCTTCCAATCAACACTCTTTTCTTTGAATTATTTAGGCCCCATGCTTTACATCAGTCAGCAGAGCGCAAACTGTTCCAAGTTTGGGGTGTGGGGTTAACGGTACTTCCTGTGGAAAGTTCCATTCTGTTGGCCAGTCTGGCGTTACCTGCCACCGCATGGTTGAGGAGCGGGCCCAACCCCACTGCGCTTGTCGTCATCAATTTTGTTGGTCTCATGCAGAAGCAGTTCTCTAAATGGCAATGATGATGCTACTGTAGGCTGTCGTCGTGTGGGTCATTCAGCACCCAAGGGGCCCAATGCCAACAAGCCTTGGATACCTTCAATTACATTAAAGGTTCTTGTATACCTCAATTGGTGTGTTGGGCCGTCTGGGCTAGCCCACACTGCAAGGCTCTCAAGCCTCATTGTCACAGGAGTTCGATGCCGGCCGGATCCTCTTCCGTGAGGCCGTAAAGATTGTGGCCGCCGCCAGTCTGCAGTTGAGAGTTTCACCTTGAGTCCTAAACCTTAGGAGATCGCAAGCCCTAAACCTTTCAGCCTAAACCCTAGCCTTTTCGCAGTTATTTCGGAAGCATGTACAGAAGCTGCGTTGCGCATGACAGCCGGAACAAGCACAAGCCCCAAACCTTCAAGTACAGTGTATTTAGTTATTATTTCAAATCTACATTGAATGCCAGGTAGGTGCATTAGGGTAAGGAAACACATAAATGCATAAGTAGAGATATATATATATAAATGTATACAGAAGATGTCCCTTCAAAGGAACTGCACAGGTATATCACATAGAGATCTATAGGGACTATGTGAGGGGTGTTCTGCTGGCCGCGTCTTGTTGAGCTGCAGGTGGTGGCAAAAGCTTTGCATTGTATTTAGTGAGAGAGAGAGAGAGTGGCGGAGTGGATCCCTGTAATCATCCCTATCCCAGAGGGTACCTATATTCACTCCCACACTCCCCCTTAAGCGCCAGCAGGTGTATGCATCAGGTCACTGACAAGACTAGTTCCTTCTCTATTGTTGTGGAGGTTTTGACG